TTAAATAGCAAGTACACTTGTCTTAAACTCTTAAACCCTGTTGGATTATTGTATTGCAAACTAAAATAAAAAATAATTTGTGATCCTTTAATGAAGACTGCAATATTAAGCTTAACACCTGGAAAAATTAAACGAGAACCAAGCGATTTGACTTGATGAAATTCATCTTTTGACCATTATATTATAAGTACATCAAAAATTACAGTGGATGAGTACTTCCTGAAGATGGAAACTAGAAAATGGTATGCTTATTCTCAAAAGTGGTACTTAATTAAATCCGGCAAAACTATAGACATATTTGTTGTCAGTTCTTTGCAGATAACCAATTTACTTAAATTACTCAATAAAATAATGAGATGAATAAATAAGGAGACCTTAATAGATGTCAGCTGTTTTGATATAGCAAAAACCTTGGATAGGGTATCACATATAAAATTAATCCAGAAGTTGAATTATTTTAGCTTTTCAAACAAAGCAAATGATTGGGTTACTAGTTTTTTTATCTAACAGAAAAAAAAAGAGAACTGTCAACACACATTGGAGTGGGAAGAAGTTTTAACAGAAGACAAAAAGTGGCTTTAGGTCAACACATCTGACTGAAATAAAGATCTGAAATAAAGACTGAAATAAAGATCCCTTGCTTGACATTCGCATCACTTCAGCTTCTGTATCTAAAGTAATTTCCTCCTTAGACTCTTCAACAGCTTGTGGTCCTGACAACATTCCTGTTGTAGTCTTGCAGAGGTGTTCTCCGGAGCTTTCATCCATACTTTCTAAACTATTTAACAAATGCTTATCAGAGTCTTGTTTTCCATCATGCTGGAAAGCAGCATCTGTTATCCCTATTTTCAAAAATTCCGGAGAGCGATCTGATTCATCTAACTACCGTCCCATTAGTCTTCTTCCTGTCATAAGCAAGGTTTTTGAATCATTAATCAACAAACACTTAATCTCTCATCTTGAATCAAATAACTTACTTTCCGATCATCAATATGGATTTCGGTCTTCTCGTTCTACAGCTGATGTGCTAACAGTAATAACCGATAGGTTTTACCGTGCATTAGATAGAGGTGGAGAGGTTAAGGCTATCGCACTTGACATTTCTAAAGCTTTTGATAAAGTTTGGCATGCTGGTCTTCTCCATAAGCTTTCTTCTTATGGTGTAGCTGGTAACGTCTTTAAGATTATTGAGTCCTTTCTTTCCAATCGTAGTATAAAAGTTGTCCTCGATGGACAACACTCTTCTTCACATCCTGTAACTTCAGGGGTTCCTCAAGGTTCAATCCTTGGCCCTATACTCTTTTTAATTTACATTAACGATCTTCCAGATATTCTCACATCTAAGGTGGCATTATTCGCTGACGACACTACCATTTACTCTTGTCATGATAAGAAGCCTACACTCTCTGATTGCTTGGAGGGGGTATCTGAGCTTGAAAAGGATCTCACTTCTGCTTCAGCATGGGGCTCACAGTGGCTGGTGAACTTTAATTCAGATAAAACTCAATTTTATTCGGCCAATCGTTATCGTAATAATTTAGATCTTCCTATATTTATGAATGGTAATGTACTAGATGAGTCATCTACCATTCATCTTCTAGGATTAACTCTTACTTCTGATCTTTCTTTTAAACCGTATATCAAATCCATTGCAAAATTAGCATCTGCTAAGGTTGCATCTCTTTATCGAGCTCGACACTTTCTTACTCCAGATTCTATTCTCTATCTCTATAAATCTCAAATCCGTCCCTGTATGGAATACTGTTGCCATATCTGGGGCGGATCTTCTAATGATGCTCTTTCTCTTTTAGACAAGGTGCATAAACGAATTGTAAACATAGTTGGACCTGCTCTGGCAGCCAATCTCCAACCTTTGTCACATCGTCGTAATGTTGCTTCTCTTTCTCTTTTCTACAAATACTATAATGGGCACTGCTCTAAAGAGCTAGCGTCCCTTGTGCCATCTACTAAAATTCATTCTCGTGTTACTCGCCATTCAATTAAGTCTCATCCTTTTTCTGTGACTGTTCCTAAGTGCTTCAAAAACTCTTATTCTTCTAGTTTTTTTCCTCGAACATCAGTTCTTTGGAATTCGCTTCCTTCATCTTGCTTTCCTGATTCATATAATTTGCAATCTTTTAAGTCATCAGTCAATCGTTATCTTGCTCTACAGATTTAGTCTTTTCTCTTCCAGTAACTTCCAACTCTTATAGTGGTTGCTTGCAGCCTTGTTGGAAGTGAAGATGTTAAAAAAAAAAAAAAAAATCTGACTGGTGTTTCCAAAAGAAAAAAAGATATTAAGACCTGAGGTTGTGTTATTACACTATATATATATTATTATTATTACACTATAAGGATATATATAGAGAGAGGCTTGGACAAGAATGGCATGCGATCGAGCGCTATTGCTGACCATGAAAATGAATATATTTTTAGACAACTTGACCATGATATGTTTATATGTTTTGACGATTTAAACATTTCAGAAATGCGCTGAATATAGAAATGCTAAGCTAAACTTAAATTAGGAAAAAAGTCTAAAACTAATGGAAAAAAAATTCCTAACAAAAAAAGAAACGACAAAAAATTCTTTACGAAAAAGAAATTATATAAGCACTATAATAAAAAAAAAAAGTAAAAACTTAAACTGTAAGCAAAACTTTTTTTATGTTTTTAATCATGTTTGAAATAAATCTTTTAAAACGCTTTATTAAAGTTACACAAAACGCTTTTAAATTAACAAATTACCACTAACGATTGTTTAATAAATGAACAAATTTTATCAAATATATTAAAAAGTGTTGTATTTATAATTTTTAAATTGTATAAATATTTATTTTTTCAAAAAAGTTGCAAAAAAAAAATTGTTTAAAAAAATAATGTAGTCTTTTTAAAATAGTAATTTTTAATAACTTCATGCTCTTATTAATGTCTAATTAAAAAAAAGGTATCCAGCTCTTTTATTCGTAAAAATAGGAAAATTTTTATAAATGATTTCAACTTATTCAATCCTATCGTAATTGGAAAATAAATTATAATTTTTTTTTAAAAAAATAAAATGTTTGTATAAAATATTTTAAAAAATTGTAACTTATAAAAATTAATCGTATGAACATTACAACATGCTTGGAAACTTTTCGATTAATCAACAAATTACATGCTTATATAAATAAAGTTATTTTATATTCTTGTATAATTCGTAAAAAATGTGTAAAAGCTAGTAGTGGCAAAAAGTTTTGAACTTATTTATAAATTATAGTAAAAAAAAATCTTTCTGAAATTAATGCTTTAAAAGATTTTTAGGAAGACATGGGAAAATAGTTTCAAATATTTAAATTTATCATGTCTACATGAAAAATAATTTACAAAAATATTTTTTATTAATTAACACATGCGTTATAAGTTTTTACTTCACCTTTTAGTTCAAATAATAAAAACACAGATTTTAATGACATTTTACAGATATTTACCACTTATCCAAACAATGCTTTCAGCTTACAAATCTCCAAAAAACATTAGCAAAATCATTTGTTTCAAAAAATTACATGTAAAAACTTCATATGCCCTAAAGTTTTATTATAAAAAATAAAAATTGCAAATTCCTACTTTGAATTCTATTAATTATTTAATAAAAAGATTTGTGGAAGTTTGAATAATAATAATAATTGTGAAATCTCTAATTGTTGGTTCACACAAACGAGACAATTATGGAACTGATTCTAAAACCATTACACCAAAAATTAATTATTTTGAAAATTTTTTTAATTATTTTGAAAAAAGTCCCCAGTTGCGTATCTTATTCAACCTATTTAACTTTTATACAGATGTGTAAATACCTTGTAGGTTTTAGTGAGCATATTTTATTCAAAAAGTATGATGTGAATTATATCCTTCTAGGAAAGCTCTAATATGATCCATTTGAACAAGGAATTTTAACAAAAAATCTTGAAAATATAAAGAATTTGTTAAATACAGATGCTTATCAGTTGGATGAAGATGAAATACTAAAGTTCTAAAATCTAAAATCAAACTTAAATGATGATCATCCTTATTTACTTATGATACTGTAAATGTTATTTATATTTTTGCAGGTTATTGTTCCCAAAGATTGTTAAAGCCCTATCAATATTTTGGTTCCAATAACCTATTCGTTGATAATAGTTATGGAGCATATTTATACAATATTTATGGATATTTATTAGGCATTCTAAAGTAAAAGCAAAAATTGATAATTTGTTTAATGACAGTAATAAAGGTACAAGAAAACGACCAACTTATGTTTAACGCTGTGTTTACTCTCATAAAACTATTTTGTACCCATTTTCAAATCTGATCATTTGAGATAAAAATTACTTTTATGTGACATTAAAATAAAGCCCATCTTAACAGGACAATGATTAAATGGAAAGCATTAAATGTTTTATGGTAAAATAAGAAATTGGCTTATATTTAAAATGTTGGTTTGATTTCTAACTTTTTTATATATATAAACACATATTTGCTTCCCACAAGACCCGCTGTACTGATGAACAAGTTGAGAACAAAAACAGGAGAGTTTAAGCTATGTCCCTCTCGCCTATGAAATGAGCTACCACCTCACTACTACGTTATAAGTACTATTTTTTCACTAGCACTCTATAAGTCATATACGCCATATACTCTATAAGTCATATACGCTCTTTAAATCTTTTACGCCATTAACATCTGTTATTGTGTAAATAATTTTATATACAGTTTATCATTAGATTTTAAACAATTTCCAATGTGCTAGATTTTTTGCATACTACATAAACGTCTCAATGCGACAACGATATCTGTTTATTTAGAAAACTATATAGAATTTATTTAGAATTCTGCCATTTTCCCTTAACTTTATCTGTATATGAACATACTGACGAGCTTTTTTTTAAAGCCTATTTTTGGCAAACGAGAACTGTTTAGTTTAAAATCAGTATTGCGATTTATTTACCATTAAATTGAAATTTTTGTTTTGTTTGCAGGTAACTTTGGAAACCGATACTTTGGCACAGACGATGACTATTAATATCTTTGCATGAAGAAAACACGCCTCGTTTATTTTATTTTTTTATTGTATAATTTTGTGTCTCTTGGAGTATCAAACGATTAAAGAAATATAATTTTTTTAAGTTTTTTTTTTGCTTTTTTTTTTATTTATTTTTTAAAAGATTTTATATTATTAACAAAAAAAAAAAAAAGTTTTTGCATATTGTTCATATTTTTTTGGTATGAAGAAAATTATTTTCAAATATTAAATATTGTTAATCAATTTAAAAGTATTTTTTAACATATCAAGAGTTTTTATAAAGATTACAAGTAGTAGTTTAAAGTGAAGAACTAAGTTATACATCAATTTCCATGACACTAATAGCAAGATCAAATTAATAATACAGCAAAAGTAATAAGAATAGTAGTAAAGTTTTAAAATCAAATAAAGTCTAAGGGGGCATCCTTAAAGTACGAAAGCAGTAAAACCACTTATTTAGGACTCCCCTCCCCCCATACCCCCCAATGTACGCATTTGTATGCTTTCAACGACCCAAAACCCCCTCCTTCCCTCTGCGTACGTACGCATTATTTCACGGCGTTAATTTTTATTCAAAAATCTCCCGTTTGCCAGTTAGTGCGTTTTCACACTTACAGTCATAGTAAGTGGAAACCATGAGAAAATAACAATAAAATTTTAATAGACCAATCAATATCAAACGTTTTTGCGAGTCGGTACAGTCATTTTGCGCTGAACTTGAATTTGATTTGTAAGAAAACGAAGCGTATGGATCATTGATTTATGTACCTCCTCATCCTTTTTTTTTTTTAATTATATTTTGAAATTATACTCTCACATTGATAACATAATATCAAATTGATATTTGCAGAAAAAATATTTCAAAAATTGGACACTCCAATTATAATTATACTTCGGAATAAAAAATAATTATAATTATACTCCTCAATTAAAATTAATTACTAAAAAACTAAAGATCTATATGTAAAATAATTTTTTAAACTTAAAATTTTGTAAAACACAAATATTAAACAATATCCAAAAATGATTTAAAGAAATTATGAAAAAAGAAGTAATCTTATTAGTAAATAAAATAAAAGGAAAATTCTTCTTAGAAAATGCTGCTGTGAAAATAATTTTAAATTGACTTTAAAGTTAAAGGTTATTTTAATTTCGTTGCAGGAAGATGAGTTGTCATCAAGTACAGTCTGCTAATATCTAAAAAATAAAAAAATTACTACATTCCTATCAATTATTCATACACGTTCTATTTTCATTCAATTTGTAAGTTCTATTTCATAAATCTACACACACTGTAATTTGCATTGCTTGTTGAACAGCCTTTAGATATATTGGGGATTATTTATCCTTATCCTAATCTTGAACCAATAGAATAATTTAAACTTAAACCAATAGAATAACTTAACCTTAAACCAATAGAACTACTACGTATACATCTACGTATTTATTATTATTTATTTTTCTTCTCGAGATATACCATATAAAATATACATTTATTATCGTGAAAAAAAGAAAATATACATACAAAAATTATTACGTACCAGATTGATAAAAATACATTAATATAGTATTGATGCAAACCTTGATACAAATTCTGGTATAATAACTATTATATATATATATATATATATATATATATATATATATATATATTTATTTTTTCTATACTTTAATACCTAAAAAAAGGAAATCAAAGAAGATTCAGCATTTTTGGGTATAAAATTCCGAAAAAAATCTTTTCGCAGATTCCCTTAATAGCGCCATTTGGCGTATATCTATGTTTATATAAAAAGTTAATTAAGTAAACTTAAAAATAATTTTTTTGTAATTAGCTTTATAATTACTATTTCTACTGTTATTTTATTTATATATTTTTTATTTTTTTACTTTTTCTAATTTTTTTTTTAATTTGTTATAATCATTTTTACAAACTAATATTCGATCGCAGATAATAACTTTGAGAAAATGATGACGAAAATGTCTAAAAAAGAATGGTAGCATATTGTTTTTATATTTGAACATAAAAATAAGTATCTGACATAAATTAAGTTTTTCCAAGCTTAAGACTTTCATACTTGTCATTGCATTAGAAGGATTGTCCATTTTACCTAGATAATGAAATGCTTTACAAGCATAGTTTTGCAAGCCTTGTAGTTTGATTAACTTAGTTTTGTGTGTATTGGCCTACACTATATTAGCATATGTGAGATGACTGTGAATTAGACTAAAGTAAAGTTTTTTTCATGAACAGAAATCATAAAACGGATGACATTTATATAAAATACCTATTGCAGATGATATTTTTGATTCAATGTGTCCAATATGATTTCTCCATAACAAATTTTCATCAATTTCAAAAACAGGTTTTCGTCAATTTCAAAAACAGACTTTCGTCAATTTCAAAAACAGACTTTCGTCAATTTCATTTTCATCAATTTCATCAAAAACAGGTTTTCATCCATTTCAAAAACAGGTTTGCGTCACACTACGAGTAAGACGTATTTTTTCTTAGAATAACTTTATTTACAATGAAAATGGAAATAAATATTAAAAATATAGAAAAAAATTATCACAAGTAAACTGGAAAAAAAAAAAAAAAAGTATACTAGCAGAAACAGAGAGATTACTCAAAGATCATGAAAAAAACTTCACTACAATAATAAGTTCGAACTTCAAAATAATAAAAGCAAGATTAGACAAAATGGACGCTGAAATAAACAATAACAAGTTAAATATCCGAAGAATTGAAAATGAAGTTAACGAAATAAAAGTCAGCTTAAGTTTCCAAGTAAATAAACTTAAATGAAACGGAATTTATATTAATGAAGATTATGCAAAAGAAACGATGTTGGAAAGAAAGAAGCTTTGAGAAGAAGTTAAACGTCTACGAAAAGAAGGTAAATTTGCAGTTATTAAAGTTGGTAAAATTTATTGTAGAGATTTTAGAAAGTAAAAGCGCGAAGTTTTATTAAGCGAAGTGTTATTTTAACCATTTTAACGATTTTAAAATAATGACTAACTCAACAATAGATTTTGAAAAATTACACTTTAATGTTTTCAAATCCGCAAATGTATTAATTAATGATATTTCTGACGCTAGTTTGCATTTTTTTAACGAAAACAATTTTAGTTCATCCTTTTTTGAAATAAAAACTTTTAAAAACGAACTAAAAACCTAAGAGAGTAATTTTACTGTAATGCACATTAACATAAGAAGTATAAATAGCAACATGGATAAGCTAAAACATTTTTTTATCGAATGCGCTTATTTATTTAGTACCCGGTGGGAAATCAGCTAGCGAATAGCTATAATCGTAACGATAAAGACAGCGATTTGGCCACGAGGATCGCTAGCTTTTTTAAGTAAGCGAAAAGCTATCGATATTTGTACAGATAAAAACAGCTATTTGGCTATGAGGACAGCTAGCTTAATAAGATAAAGACCCACTGGCTATTGTAGCTAGTGTCATATCGTAATAAAATCGTTGTCTAAAAAATTTTGATATGTAGCTATAAACCAGCTATAGATTTGTAGATATTTTGTAGCCAGCTACAAAGCTACGATATTTAGCTAGCGACACATTGCTACAAAATCGCAATGTTTAAAGTTCAATTATCCTCATAATTATAATAGAATCAACAATAAAAATTGAATTTTTTAAGATGTTAAAGATATTAGCAAAAAATAAAATAGGAAAAAAAAATCGCTTCAAAATCGCTATGGAGCTAGCTAGTCGCTCGTTAGTCGCTAGCTCATTTCCCACCGGGTATGATATGCCTAACAGAAACGTGGTGTTCTGACGAATTATGCAGAATAAATTCAAGTTTAGAAATTCCTAACTACAATTTATTATCATCTGAAAGGAAAACTAACAAAAGGGGAGGTGGAATTATAACTTATATTAGGAATGATCAAGTTACCAAAATAAGAGATGACCTTTCGACCTCAGATGCCGAAAGTGAGGTTTTTACAATTGAAATAACTAGCAACAAAGCAAAAAACAAACTGGTCTCCACATGTTACCAGCCACCTGAAGGTGATTTATTTAAATTTTCCAATCATTTAAAACAAATTTTTATAAAAAACAACAATGAGCAAAAAAAAATATTCTGTATTGGAGACATAAACATAGGTTGTTTACAATATGATAAACCCAGTGTAAAAAGAGCTAGCGACTAGCTAGCTTTATAGCGATTTTCAAGCAATTTTTTTTTCCTATTTTATTTTTTTTTAATATCTTTAACTGCTTTAAAAATTCCATTTTTAGTGTTGAGTCTATTATATTTATGAAGATAATTTAACTTTAAACATTGCCATTTTGTAGCAATGTGTCGCTAGCTACATATCGTAGCTTTCTAGCTAGCTACAAATTATCTACAAATCTGTAGCTGATTGATAGTTACATATCAAAATTTTTTAGACAACGATTTTATTACGATATGACGCTAGCTACAATAGCCATTGGGTCTTTAGCTTATCAAGCTAGCAGTCCTCGTAGCCTAATCGCTGTCTTTATCTTTACAAATATCGATAGCTTTTCGCTAACTTAAAAAAGCTAGCGACCCTCGTGGCCAAATCGCTGTTTTTATCGTTACGATTTCCCACCGGGAAACATGCCAATACTAAACTTTTTTTGATTTATTAAACAAAATACAATACTAAACTTTTTTTGATAAAATGTTGAAATTATTAAAAAATCAACTCGAGTAACTCCAACTTCAATCACTGCAATAGACAATATATTAGCTAATTCAATCTTTAACACTTCTCTAAGAGCTAGAATAATAAAGACAAATATATCTGATCATTTTCCTATTTTTTTTTTCTCCTTGACGCAAGATACAAAATCTAATAATAGTTGTAAAATTAAAACTTATAAAAGAAAAATCAACAAATTTGCCATTCATCACTTTCGGTAGAAGAGTGGGATAAGGTATACCATGAATGCAATCTTGGGCACACTAACTCTGCTTATAATAACTTTGAAAATTTTTTCCTTAAAAACCATAATATGCACTTCCCAATTAAAGTAAAATTAATAAAAGAAAAACACTTAAAATGTCCATTGATCACCAAAGGTATTAAAACATTCTCAAAAAAAA